CTCCAGGGTCCTTCCTTAGTTGTCCCCCATTCACCCAGTCGCTCAAGCCAAGCCTCTTGAAATCATTATTGACTCCTCTCTTTTCTTCATATTCCACATCCAGTTTCTCAACAAACCTCATTGGTTCTGCCTTCAAATTATGCCCCGAATTCAACCACGTCTCACTATAGCTGTATAAGGACAAACCACAAGTACTTCTCACGAGGACACCTGCAAGAGTCTCCCGACAGTCTCCCTGCTCCCACCATGGCCTCCTATGGTCAATTTTCCACACAGCATCCAGAGTAACTTTTTAAAAATAAGGGGCAGGCCCTATTGCTTCTCTGCTCCAAGCCATCACCCTTAGGATAAAGTCCAAAGCCCTTGCCATGACCTGCAAATTCCCACCATGAAGCTGGCCCTTGACCTCTCTGCACTTTCTCTCCCTCCTTGCAGTGTTCCAGACACATTGATCTCTTAGAGTTCCTCAGACGCACCATCTCGCTCTCTTGTAGGGGCTTTTGCCTTTGGTTTCCCTACTACCCAGAATGCTCTTCTCCAAAGTAGTTCCTACATTCACTTCATGTCTCTGCTCCAGCGGCACCTGTCCAATTTCGAGAAGACCTGCTTGTCACCTTCTAAAGCCTGGCTCTGGCCTTCATACCTACCCAAATTTATATTATTATATATCTTTGAGTATTTGCTTATTTTCTATCTTTACCCACGAGACTATATCCCCAAAGCCAAGGCCAATGTCTGACTCATAGTAGTAACCCAATAAGCATCCATCGAATGAATTATTTTAATAAATGAATGAATGAGTGAATGGTCCTCTTAGTCACAGGGTTGCTGGGATGATTACATGAAATAAAGTATATTTAGAGCACTTTCTAGCACATGGTAAAGTACTCAAGACTATCTGTTCCTTTTACCATGACTGTTATAAATAGAATGGATGGGCTGTGGCAATGGTGTATAGAAGCTAATCATTTTGTGACATCTGCTATTATCAGAGTTTGCTTCTATTTCTGTATCTCATATGTTCCCATCTGGCCCCTGCTCTTTATAGGGATAATTGGAGAAAGCATGTTCCTTTGAGCTTACTGCTCAGACTTTCTTTAGCTTGTAGGCATTTCTCTTAAGCTGTCCACTTGAATAAAAAATGTCACATGGGCTCCCAAAGCGAATTCTCCAGCGTTAGAGGCAGGCAGGCTCCGAAGGTCTAACAGAATTATCAGCCACATCTCTCAGAGCAAGGAAAATGCTACAGGTTTCTTGGCATCATCCTATACTTCCAGAGGACACAGAATGCCACAGGGATGGAAGGGTTCGAATGGAGAAAAGAAGCAGGTGAGCACAGGAGGGAGCCCAGATACACATAGGTAGGTGTTACCCCACCACCATCCTTGTATTGGCAGCGGAAGACCACGCAGGGATGTCTGATGCTCTGCTTTGATCAACGATGTCTGTCCCTTTATTATTTTTAAGAAACTTGAAATATATAAAATAAAGGGAGTAGCTCCCAAAAAGCAGATTTGCTTTCCCACTCCACATCCCTTCCCATGCTCACGGACCATGAGTACTTCCAGCCCCCTCACGGTGAGAGGTGTTTCTCCTCCACACCCCATCTACCCTTGGTTAAGTTACCGGCATGGGAGTTAGAGGAAGGCAGATTTAGGTCTTTACTCACCTAAACTGTGTGACCTTGGACAAGTTTCTTAACCTCTCTCAGCCTCCATTTCTGTAGGGGGATAAGAAAGGCTTCACTGAATGGTTGAGAAGATGAAGAGGCATCACCTGAAGTGCGTAGGCTAGTCCCACCCTCCCAGCTCCATCCCCCATTGCTCTTCCCACCCCCTCCTTCCATTTGCATCATGTAGAACTCTCAGCTCTCTCAAAGACAAATACCAGGTGATTTCACTTATATGTGGAACCCAAGAGCAAAATAAGCAAACAAAACAGAAACAGACTCATAGAAACAGAGAACAGACTGATGGTGGCCAGAGAGGAGGTGGGTCGGGGGCTGGATAGAAAAAGGCAAAGAGATTGAGAAGTACAGATTAGAGTTATGAATAGTCATGGGGATGTGAAGTATAGCATAGGGAAGAGAGTCAGTAATGCTGTAATGACCACATCTGCTAACAAGTGGGTACTGGAAAAAGAGGGGGAAATACTTCATGAAGTATATGATATCTAACCACTTGATGGACACCTGAAGCTAATACAAGATAATATTTAATGTAAACTGTAATTGGAAAATGAAATTAAAAGAAGCATTAAAAAAAAGAATTTCCAGCTTTCTCATAGGCTGTCCTCTGCTACCTTCACAACTGTGCACTGATAAAATCAGGATGGGTGTTATGTTCTATTTCTGAGACAAGGGTAGCCAATTTATTGAACCATTTGAGTGGCATGGGGGGGGAATAGAAAATGACTTTATTTTGCTATGCCATTTGCTTTGATAAACCTCCCTCTCCGTGGTTTTCATAGTCCATGACAAAATCTTGGCAGATTCCTTAACTTCCTAGTTACTTTAATTTATTCAAAGCTCTCTAAAATAAAACTCCAATCTCACCTCCTATTTAAGTCCCCCTTCCTCCAGCACCAAGCCAGTATGTAGCCGGAAGGACCTGAAGTATAAAAGGTCTGTTCTGCGACTTTGCTACTTCCAGGTCCTTGCTTCAGCATGGCTCAGTCTCAAAGAGTGAGGGTCTTATGCCTCCCTCTCATTTACCTTTGCTGCAGATGGAGGGTCTGCTTCCCAATAAGCGCTGAGCTGCCTGGGGCCCATGACTCTATTCTCCTATATCCATCAGGATATGCTAGTTTATGGCCCAGTAACAAATTGCAAAATAACTCAGCAGCACCCCCTTCCTCCTGCTTCTGCAACAGCCCCAACTCCTTTGGCAGGTTTGGGCTGTAGGGCAGAAGGTAAGGGACAAGAGAACGGTCTTGGCTGGCCCACTGTTTCTGATCTTTCTATGAGTGATGTTGCTGCTTGCCTGGCTGGTGATCCCCTGTCTGGCTGACAATGCCCCATTGCTGGACCCAGTGGGGCTTCCCCAGAGGGTCCTGCAGGGCCTCCCTTCCATATGGCTACCTGAAGGAGAGAGTTGGCCACAGTCAACTTCAAATGAACAACAAAGTACATTCCCACCACATGCCAGGAAGTTGGGGAGAACAGCACTGTGTTGTGTATACACAATAGATTCCCAACTTACTGGTTTAAAAGACTAGCCATCTCTTTAGTTGACAGTTCTGTGTGTTGACCATTTGAACAGGACTCAGCTGCTCTCATCTAAACACCTTTATTCCTTGCAGGGAAGCAGGTGGCTCTGCTTCTGGGGGTCTCACTTGAGTGATAAAAAATGACTGGACCATGTGTTTCCCATCATCCTTCAGGCTAAGTCAGGTTTGTTACTATGGGAGTTGAGCACATTTCCAGGAGGATGACAGAAGCAAGTGAGGCATCTTAAGGTCTGGGCTTGGAACTGGCTTAAAGTCACTTCTGCCACTTTCTATTGATCAAATTCTCCAAACCAATAAGATTCAAGGAGTGGGAAGATACACTCTACTTTTGATGGGAGGACTGTAAAGGCACGTTGTAAAGGGGAGTGAGAAAGGGGAAAGACAAGGAATCATGGGATTATTGGAGTCTCTGCCCTAATAGACTCCAATATCTAATGAATATCGCATCTTTCTGATCTTCTTAGGGAGGTGTTTGTGGGGGTGATGCAGACATGGCTAAGCTTGGCAGGGCCAGGTCAGCCACCTTGTGTGTCCTCTTGGGGGTTTGATCACACTTGACACAGGCCTTCATTAGAATGTGCTTAGCTCCTATTTCTCTGCCAGTTTAGGCCAGGGACATTTATTCCAGGCAATAGACCAAGTCCCCATGGATATTCAATTACCAAAGGAACTACCTTAAAGGCAAAGTGAATTACTGCAGGTCAGGCAGCTACTACGTGGTTTATTTCTTTTATCCAGGCAGAGGGAAAGCTGTGTAGTAAGGGCTGGTGGCAAAAGTGCACAGTAAAAACCAGAGACTTCTCAAAGGCCACTGTGGCTGGGATGGGTAGAGCAAGACAAATGGGGTATAAGCTGTCATTGGGATCCAGTCACTGGAGCCCATGACGATCTGCTTTTCTTCCCATTTAAGAACAAAGGAAACTTCACGAAGGATTTTAAGCACGTGCTGACATTTTCCAAAAGATTCTTCTAGCACCAATGCGAGGCCTGGACTGGAGGTTCAAACTGGCCCAAACAGACACTTTTGAAAGTTAGAACTTTTCCAAGCTTCTTCATGAGTCCCAAAGGCAAAGGAGAGATGGTCTGGTTTGTCAAATGGACAAAAAAAAGCAGCAGGACAAGGGGGAGAGCAGAGAATGTCGAGTAGGCAATTCCATATTGTGTCCCCCTCGAACACACACACACACACACACACACGCACACACGCACGCACGCATGCACAAAGATTACGTATCCATATGCTTCAGACCCAGGCAGGCTTGAGAGTTTGTGTTCTCTGGATACTTGAGCCAGACTGATGCAGAGTTTGGCAGTGGCCTCTCCTGCTTTGCTGGGTAAAGAGACAAATAGCTGCTAACTGACCATGAGCGAGAAAGGCCAGTAGAGGCCTCAGCATTATAGAACCAGCCTTTGAGCCCAAGAGTTTGTACATGTAATATTTCCGCAATTCAAATCCAAACCACAAGTGCTGTCCAAACCCAGTGTCATGGAATATTTTGACAGCACATTGGTGGGACTTCAAGGAGGCAAGGAGGTGGAGAAGGGGCAGAAGCTAAGGCAACACGGACCCTCTTTCTGTTGTCTGGGTTGGCAGGGGGGTGGGCTGTCGAACTCCCTCTAGGCACCACCCCAACCACAGAGGGGCATCTAAGAGCTTCCTGGGAGCTGAGGGTATCTGTGGGAATAGCGAAGTGCATGGAACAGACTCTACCCCCACCGCACACACCTGCACAATTGATCGTAAGAGAGTCTGTTCTGTCATTGCATTGCAGCTCCAGAAACTAAAACGATCACTTTCTTTCAAGACCAAGAGTCTACGGAGCAAAAGTGCCGATAACTTCTTCCAACAAACCAACAGTGACGTGAAGCTGCAAGGGGACATGCTGGCTGAGGTCAGCCCCAGCCCCAGCCCATTCCCTGGCCCCGCCAGCCTGACGTCCACACCCACCAGGGCTGGCCTGCACCCGGGCAGCGTCAAGGCCCATGCCTTTCAGGAACACATCTTCAAGAAGCCCACTTTCTGTGACGTCTGCAACCACATGATCGTGGGTAAGGCCTTCCCTGCCCCTTCCTCCCGGTCTCTACTGCAAAACCCAGGGAAAGTGGTATAGCATGGGTCCAGGTTCCCGCACACCCTGTGCCTCAGAGGTGTGCACACAGGAGGGTTGTTTGGGAGCATCTGGGGGGACAGTATTCGTGGAAAGGTATGGGAAGCAGGACCAGGCTGTGGAGAAGTCAGGTTGTGATATAGTTGTAACAACATCGTCAGCTGATCCTCCAGGGACCTCTGGCCCTTTATAATCCAATTCGCATTGAGGCTGGAGGCCTGGGACTTTGTACCCCTGTGGGGGACATAACTTTGAACAAAGTAGCTCTTCTTAGCCAAGGGCAATTAGCAGAGGGGGAATTAGTAGGAGGCAACCAAAATAACATTTGATGATGGAGCAGTTTGGCAGGAGCATCTAAGTGAGCATCCCAGCATCTACTGCAATATGTATACAGTACATGCTACAGTAAGGGGGCTTACAGGTGAATGACCCAGACAGGGAAGTGTGTAAGGGATCATTCTGGTGATAGGGATCACTTTGGGGAGGTACTGAACCAGGCAGGAAATACGGTTCCACCGCCATTACATTACAACTCTGGACCCAGAGAGAACTCACTCACAGTCCTTCAGAGAAATGGCGATGGCCTGAAAGTCTCAGGGGTTGTATGCAGATGAAGAGAATGACCTCTACAATGTTCCAGCTGGAAGAACAATGTCTGCTGTTCAGGGCCATGGGGGCAGAGATTCCGCATTTCTGCCTCTTCCGTGTCAGAGACTCGGAGACCAAACAGATGGAGGTAAACAAAGAGAAGGTGGGTGGGACTCAGTGAATTTAAACCAGTGGTTTCAAGAACAGCAGTACATCCTGGAAATCGAACAATAGAAAAGAGGGAAGGAGATGGGTGCATGTCTGTTCTCAGGGGTGTGGGGATGCACTCCCCCCGCCCCCAGTAACTCCCTATTAGGAGAAGTTATAGGGCAGAGGCAGGAGAGAAAAATGAGGCTGAAAATCAAAAGATGCCAGGCCTATCCAGCTGCAGACTGTCTTCCTGAGACAGCGCTGATGTTCCAGACATGTAACCATTCAAATTCCCAGATTGCCCGAAAGAACACCATGAGGAAGGTGGGTGTGGGAGACAGGCCTTGTCCCCCACCGCCCTGTGGTCCCCCTGTCAGGCCTGTACTGTGGCTCCTGCTCACTTACAGCCTGGAGACTGCAGCCAGGGGCTTGGCAAGGATGCTTTAGGGAAGAACACTTAGATCAAGAGCCTCAGATGGTCTAGCTGGGGGCCAGGTCCCGGCATGGCCCCGGGCAAAAAGCTAACACATAAATCATTCCCTCTCACCATCTAGCTCCTCCACACTGACACACAGCCCCCCTCCGAACCCCACATTTCCCCTCGTGCTCTTTTCCTGTGGCCCTGGCATCTCTTCTGAGGATGACAGTTGTCTCAGGCCTAATTCCCTAGAAGCAGAGCCTGAGATGGGATTCAAGTGCACCTAAGTTATTGAGGGGGTGTTGTCAGGAGAAGGGAGAGAGGGGAAAGTGGTGGGGTGGGGAAGGAGCTAAACAAGGAAGTGGTCTCAGCTAGAGTCTCACTTTTGATCTGCAGGGAGCTGTGGCCTGGGAATGGCACCAGGTGTCAGTGGGCTTTGGAGGTGACTCACACTCTGCTGAAGAAAATTTTCAGAAGAAGGGGGTAGCAACCAGCACATCCATTTCCTGCCCGTGTATTAGTGGTTTTTCACTATGGTAACGAATCACCGTACATTTGTGACTTAAAACAACACAAATATATTACCTCATAGTTCTAGAGGCTAAACATCCTCACTGGGTCTCCCTGGGCTAAAATCAAGTTATCAGTAGGGCTGACTTCCTTTCTGGAGGCTCTAGAGGAGAATCCATGTTCTTGCCTTTTCCAGCTTCTAGAGGCAGCCACACCTTGGCTTGCAGCTCCTTGGCTTGTGGCCCCTTACCACATTCAAGGTCAACAATGGCAGGTCACATCTTTCTCACACCACCCTCTCTCATAAGGATCCTTGTGATTATAGTGGAACCACCTGGATAAACCAGGATAAGGTCACCTGATTAGCAGCCTTACTTCCATTGCAACCATGGTTTTCCCTTGCCATGTAACATAGCACGTTCACCAGTTCTAGGGGTTAGGACATGAATATCTGTGGGATGGCATTCTCTGCCTGTGCCCACCCAGGAAAGGGTGTCCGGGCAGGGCATGGGCAATATCTGCCACAACAATAGGAGAAAACCTTAGCTGATCACAGGATGACCTCTGTTGATTCCTTTCCTTCCTGGCTCTAATGCCAATCATGAGACTGTTGTATTCCAGCTGACAGCTTTGTAATGTCACATAATAAGGGGCCATTTTCATTCAAAGCAGGCATAGAGGCACCTTTCTGTCTGGTGCACAGAATGGGAGAACAATGACTCGGGTTTTGCTCCTGGCTATTCCAGTGACATAATGAGCCCTTTCCCTTCCCAAACAAAATGAGATGAGGGCATGGGGGTGGTAGAAAGGCCACAATCATGGAATCAGATGGCTTGGATTTCTTCATCACTCTCCTTGGAGCAAAGGAAGATATTCGGAGGGTAAAACAAATTAGCTTAACAGAAAATATTTTAACTTAATAGGCATAGATAACTGAGCATGTAATGTCCAGATAACAAGTAATTAATCTCTTATCTGCATAGCAATATTTTACATCCATCTTAAGAATTATCTCTAATTCTGCATTTCATATTTTACGAGGGTAGGGACAAGCAAGTGTTTTGTCTAGATGAGAGTGATCAGAATGGTGAGTGATGGGTCAACATAAAATTGTGAGGAAACCCTGGGAGTCTGGTGTGGAAAAAACGTAACATGTACAGCTGTGTTGAAATCTGGAAGGAGAGAAAAACATCAAACATCCCGACCACCATTAATTTCTCCAGAGCTACACCAGCCAGGGCTACAGCTGTGTTTTAAAATAACATATTTGAAGGGTGAAGAGGCTCATTCTATGTGCCTTCAGAGGAAAGGGTTGGGAACAAAGGGGTAAAGTTAAAAAGGCAAGTTTCAGTGAGTGAGAATATAACCTTTTAACCAATGCACTTGACCTGTCAGTGAATGGCTTGCCTTGTGAGTGGCATGTGGTTTAATTTCTGTCAGGCATAGGGTCATCTCAAAGGTCTTCTCTTACTTAAATATCTGATTTTTCTTTAAAATGAGACTTAGAATGCCTGTTGCTTCCTAAAGAGGCCAATATCTGTCATCATTGAACTTGAACTTATGGTGTCCAATATGACCAAGAAGGCAGAGTTCAGCAACTCCTTTCAGACTTGACCAAGATGTAGTTAAGAGGTGGGATGTTCAAAACAGGAGCAATGTCAGCCCTTCTTGTGACCATACACACAGGGCTATCCTCATCTTCAGAAAACCATTATTTACCCACATTCTTGTTTTCTTATCACTATTATTCATGTGCTTCCTTCAAACAGGCCCCATTTTGGATCGGTGTTTGTGTCAGTCAAGGATTTCCACAGTAATGCTGCATAACTAACACTCTCAAACTCCAGCTCTTTTTAAGTAACTTTCTTTTGTGCTCAGTCAGGCATCTTTGGATCAACTGGGACTTGACCAATCCAGACTAAACTCAGTTACTTATCTTCTCTCTAGTCCTTATTCCTCACTCTTTCCATGGACCAGTGGGCTAGCCGTATCCTGTTCTTCTCATGGCAAGGGCATATGGAAGCCTACAAAGCTTCTTAAGGCTTTGAATTAGAAGTGGCACTGTCCCTTCCACTAGCATTCCACCAGAATGGGGGCCAAGCCCAAGCCAAGGGATAGAGAAGTGCACTCTGTCTCAAGTGTCAGGGACTTCAAAGCCACCTGGCAAAGGGCACAGGTATGAAGGATGGGGTTAATAATTCAACCTACCATGGTGCTGAGGATGGCCTCTGGATTACTCATTTTGTTTGGTAGATTCTGCAAAGTCTTGGAGCCATACCATCCTCCAAATTCACTTCTCTGTCTGGAAGTGATGCCTGGCACCTGACTGTGAGCCTGTCGGGGAGGGGGTCTCACATGGTCCATGCTCAGAATGCTTAGGCAGTTTGGCCTCCAACTTAGCAACTTAGTTTTTGTGTCTGCCTCCCTAGCTTCTGAGTCTGATGCATCACTTTCAATGTCTGCACAAATTTATGCCAGGACTTTTCAAAGCTGTGGTATTCATAACTCTTAAGTGACTATGCGTCACTATTTTAAATCTCGTTGTGACCAGAGTGAAAAGACAACAGGAATGCATGTTTCTAAAATGCATAAGAAAAATGAGTTCACCTCTGAGGAATGTCACAATCATTGCGCTACAGAGGATTCCAGGTACACCTCACGTACAGCAACAGCAACAATTCTGCAAGACTTTGTTTTGAAAAATCACAAAAAAACCCATGCCCTGTGCCAAAGAGAATTGCACTGTACTTTCCTCTTATCAGAATTGAATTTATATTGCAGCTGGCTTTTTATCCTAAGAAAGAAAGAGGAAAAGAATAGCCCACAAGGCATGCTGCTCTTTTCAAAGACAAAAACAAAGTAAACCAAATAGCAGGCTCTTTGTAGGAAAGAAGAAAGAGGATGATAGAGGCAGGAGGGCAGTGGGAGCGAGAAAAGCAGGAGGAAGGAGGTGAAGAGAGGAGAAGAAGCGAGATGAAGTAGAGGCTGATAAATGCTTTAACTCCCTGAGACTGTGCCTAGGCCTTTGTAATCTGGGACAATGGAGCCCATTGGTTCTGCCCCTTCTCTTTTCCTTTACTCCTCAAACCTAGCCTCCTGTCTCTACATAGATCACCTGAAGATTTGTTTTTTTCAAGCCACAGGTTCATTTTCATAGTCTTCATTGTAAGGAAAGACCACCTGCTGCTATCCTCTTAGAATGGCATTTGGGAAAATATATTAAAGCAGATACTTTTTCCTTTCATCGAGAACCAACGGTTATATAACCATGGCCA